TCGGTTTATGTCCCTGTCATAAAAAGCATAACGTGTCTCAAGCCCCGGCTACTTACTAAATCCTTAAAATCTTTAAAAATCCTTCTAATAAACACTTCTATAAAAATATATGTTCTCTAGAATTGCATTACTCTTGTATATTAAACGTAGGCGTCGGAAGCAAATTGAAAGTGTTTTTTTTTGGGGGGGGGGGGGGGCTAAACCACAAAAAAGGTAAACGCCATTTTTCAATGCCCATATAATTTGTATATATTTGCTAAAAAGGGGGGGTCCCTCCGGTTCCGACGCCTATGTTAAAAAAAACTGCAATATTGATTCCCGTACTAACAACCAAAGAAAATAAATCAAGTATTTTCACTATTTGTAGTTTTATCACAGAGATGGACAAAGAAATTTAAAAAAGTAAATATAAGAATATGAGAAGGTTATTCTTTTAGTACACCCTGTGTCTTTTGATTTTGATTTCAAGTTTCAAGAAGTGTGCTGACTCTCATCGATATAGTAAACAGGCGTCGACGTTGGTAAGATCCATAATAGCACTGTAAGCTATATGGTTTCTGGAACATGTCGTTGTATTCTTTCTAATAACAATTAGTTTCTGGTTTTATCGTTCTACCTATTACTGGTAATAATAACTGGAAGTTGAACATGTGGGTGCATGTATCCGTGTAATTGTGTGATTGTTGAGAAAATTTTCAAAATATAAATGAGTGAGAGGATATACTTCTGAACTTCATAATAGTAAATTCTCCTATTTCGTTTCCGGAAGTCGTGCCAAGGCTTCCTGAAAACGACACAAGTACGCAGTTCCATTGCTCTAGCTGGAAAACCTTAAAAAAGGCGAAGGAATATTTCTTTCGCTCAGATCTCGAGATTGATGATCATATTGCAGTCAGATCGAGGAAATCAAGCTGCAATTGCTGCGTATGGCATGCAGTCTTGCACATGCAAGCTATAATTGAATGGCTGAGAAGGGGGGTTGTTTTTACAGTCATGTGCTACTTTCTAAAATTGAAATATTATCATTTAACATTGTTATTAAATCTCTTATGTTTTTAAATCCAGTTTAACCTTATTGTATTCATCAGTTTAAGAAATTCATTATCATAGTTAAAGGTTCAAATACTTGTAGTTTACTGCTTGTTCCGTTTCTTTTGCGTTCCGGTATAAATTGATATTCTTCTTCGAAGAAAAAAGTAAAAAGGGCCTAAACTATCTGATTAATAATTCAAAGCATTACACGTCACACTTTCTTTTCAGGAAGGAGGACTGTCCAGTAATAAAAGGTGAACTTCTTTTTTCTGTATTTATTTTTTGGAATAAAAAGTATCATCAGAATATATTTACATCCACTGAATATTTCCTCCTATATTTCTTAAGAAAACCCATTGCGTTAATCAGTGCATGAACTACACTAGGCATGTCACCTGTACAGATTTTTTAATCAGTGGCTGTTCCATCAATGAAACGTACAAAGACGTTCGCATCATTAATATATAATTAATCATGTTAATCCTACTTTAAATTATTATTTAAACAGATATAAATATAAACAATAAAATGTCTTTCTTTGGTTGTTATTTACAAAATTTAAATAACCCACTATTTTTTCTGCAACAGAGGCCGCGACATTCATCCCCGTACTAACAACCATAGAAAGCGTTTTGTTGTTTTAAATGACCACAGAGACTGAATCTTTTGGGGAACTTGTGATTCGGAGACCTACAGTACTGCAGTTATCTGGTTGTAGGAAACGTGTATCCTGTGACCATCTACATGAACACCACGTGGAAAAAAACTCTTGATTTTGTTTTTTTTTATTTTCCCAGAGTATTGTCCTTTTTGAAAATTTTCACTCTTATCATGCTTTTCATTATTACTTTGTGATCGAACCAGCCAATGATCTGCCGGAAGTGGATTAATTCAGTGAGAATGAAATCTTGTCGAAGAATCGAAGCTGTTTCTTTGTATTTCAACCACCCCCCTCCTTCACTTTTAAAAGGTCTTGTCTGATGTTTAAAGATTAATGAAGAAATTGTATTACTGAAACTTTAATGCTGTTTGTGATTTTTACTTTTGTGCAAGCTAGGGGACGATTATTCTACTATTCTAAGGAGAAAAAAATATCAAGGCATGAAAATAGAACATCGAAATTTAAACTCTAATTCGCTTGGGGTGGGGTAGCACTGGTCAGGGACAGATTATTTATTATCTTGTCCGTCGAGGACAGATTACTTATATTCAACATTTAAACTATCTTTGAAAAATTATTTATTGGTTATTCGACCCCCCTTCCTCTGAAAAAATGTGAGTTTTTTTAATTTAAGAATTTCAAAATGTATAGATTATTTTTCACATTTTTTAAAATTATATTTTTATAATATAGATCTAGATATATTACGATGTAAGGCCGGAACAATTTTCTGGGAAAGGGGGTGGACATTTTGTGAATAAAACGAGAGAGGTTGGGCATAGAATATTAATTTACATCATCGTTTAAAACATAAAATACTCAGTATTTAAAATGTTAATTTAATCTTTTTATTTACAAACAGCTGTAGAATATATTGCCTATGTATGTTCTTGCATAGCTAATGTCATTTTCATGTCAATCTGTACAGTTTTCGCCGAGTGATACGTCACAATAGATCGAAAACTTGAGATGTGCACACTAAAACTGCACCTCTTAGCTGAGGTGAAACAAGTGCGCGGATCCTGGATCTTGCAATTTTAAAGCCTGTTTTTTGTACTAAACACTTTTCACGTTCATTTCCTCTTGTGATCTTTGGTTGTCCAAGTAAAGGAAAACGTTCAGCTAAAAAAATAATGTTTAAATGATGTACCTTAGTGACAGAATACCTTATATTACGTACAATGCTTATATGCCATTTTGATACAGAGAGAAAGTTCGGGAAAACAGTGTACCTGTGACGTCGTACTTCGAAAAATGACGTCGAACAGGAGTTGTTTGCAGTGCATTGGCAGTGTTGACATCGCCGCGTTTCACTGGCTATTTGTTGGATTTAATCGTTCTTACGACTATATGTTTTCAGTTATCGTGATGAATATGCATTGGTATGTATTTTCGTTCTCTTGCTCCGTGATTTATTTTCTTCGGGAGATCGGCATGTGCGCATGGTGTAGGGACCCGGGTCTAGTCTTCATTCATGGATACTTGGAATGAAATACTTAGGATTTAAGCGCATCGTGACAGTAAATAAGACTTCTACCATGTTAATTACCGTTTATTACGTACATGGCGTGGACTGATTAACAATACAGACCGAATACACATTGAATATGGATTTACTACAGAATTTTTAACTAACGCAACTGGCGCATGCCCAAAGGGGTTAGTCGACACCCGGCGGCGACTAACCCCTTTGGGCATGCGCCAGCTAACCCAGTAAAAAATTTATCTAACCCCTGCCAGTACATGCAACCTTGTTTACACCAATAAATAAACAAACACAACAATAAATAAACAAACAAATAAACAGATAAGAAGAAATAATTAACAGAAAATAGAATAACTTATTCAATGAGTTTATAAGCAAAACCTTTACCCAAATACTCACAAAATATGCAGAGATCTAAGGCAAAATTTTTTTCTACTGAGCTACAAATACATGTAAGGAGACTTAGTAGCTTATTTTTTTTAATTCTTTAAATTCCGAATGAAATAATTATTCCGAGTTTAAATAATACCCTGTTATAAAATCATCCCATAATTTTTAAAACTATAAATTAACGGACAAGTTGGAAACTTTGTTTTTCTAAAAAAAAAAAAAAAAAAATATCAGTGGGCGCTTTGACCAAAATCAGGGGGTGTTTTGACCAAAATTTGGGGGCAATTTGAAAACTTTGTTTTTCTAAAAAAAAAATGTATCAGGGAGCGCTCTGACCAAAATCAGGGGGCGCTTTATAAACTACGTTTTCCTATCAAAATATGTCAGGGGGCGCTTTGACCAAAATCAGGGGGCGCATTGACCAAAATCAGGGGGCGCTTTAGAAACTACGTTTTCCTATCAAAATATGTCAGGGGGCTTTGACCAAAATCAGGGGGCGCATTGACCAAAATCAGGGAGCGGTTTAGAAAATACGTTTTCCTATCAAAATATGTCAGGGGGCGCTTTGACCAAAATCAGGGGACAGTTTGACCAAAATCAGGGGGCGCTTTGACCAAAATCAGGGGACGCATTGACCAAAATCAGGGGGCGGTTTAGAAACTACGTTTTCCTATCAAAATATGTCAGGGGGCGCTTTGACCAAAATCAGGGGACGGTTTGACCAAAATCAGGGGACGCTTTGACCAAAATCAGGGGGCGGTTTTGTAGTATCATATTTCTATAAAATATGTCAGGGGGCGCTTTGACCAAAATCTGGGGACATTTTGACCAAAATCATGGAACGCTTTGACCAAATTCAGGGAACGCTTTGACCGGGGCGGTTTTCATGGGGAACGGTTTGACTGGATTTCTATATGCCTAGTATTACCATGAATACAAACTACTTTTTTAATCAAACAAGAAATGAAACATCTTTATAAGTAATAGAATAACAATCACTAACCACTTTATCACAACAATGACATAAAAAATCTCTGTTATTTCAATAATAAAAAAAATAGAAAAGTAAAAGTTAACAATAACATATTGCGCAAAACTTACATGAACAGAGGAAACTCGAAATATAAACATAAACAGATATTAAACATGTTAAAATCATAAACATACGAACCTGAATGAAGCATTACAGTAGCAATTTACTGAAATTAACTTCAACTGCTTATATTGGCTATCTTATAATGGTACAAATTTACTATATAAATGTCTTTTATCAAATAGTTTCAAAATATTCACGTTTTCACAAAAATAAAAATACGCCTCAAATCTTTGAAGCATGGCCCTAAATTTGCATTAACACTGAATATGTTCATCTAAACTAAATCTAAAATAAACTATCTCTCATTGATTTTATACTGGTGATGCAATACATACAAAATTTTCTAAAGATAGTTATTTACTGGATTTCAAATTTCTCTGGCCACGTTTCGTCATCCACCATAGTCGCCATGTTGATGCAGGTTTAAGACAACTCGTACATAGTATGGAGAGGGAAAAAAAACACATGGGAAAACTTTTCTTTGGCTTTTTTTCTGAAACGATTTTGTTTGTTAGTTTTTCTTATTATTGTATATGAAGTACAATGAAAACAATCTGATCCGTTAGT